GGAGAGGAGTGGAGTGGTGTGGAGTGGAGTGGAGTGGAGAGGAGTGGAGTGTGGAGTTGAGTGAGGAGTGTGGAGTGGAGTGGAGCGTGTCGTGGAGTGGAGTTTGGAGTGGAGTTTGGAGTGGAGTGGAGTGGAGTGTGTCGTGGAGTGGAGTGGAGTGGAGTGGAGTACAGTGGAGTGGAGTGGAGTGGAGCGGAGCGGAGTGGAGCGGAGCGGAGCGGAGTGGAGTGAGAAGGGTCGAGGTGGGGTAGGGTGGGGTGGGTGAGTTGTGACGGCAAATAGAAGAATCTAGCAACAGCTCCAGTCTCTTTCCGAAATCTGTCCTGGCAGGACGCCCCCTCGCACAAAGCGAGGCTGAATCCCTCTCCGCAGTGAGCGACGTCCAGAGAGGCTGTGACAACGATACTGCCGTCGTCCTGCGCGCGCTCACTTGAGTGTCATGAGTGGCCAAGCGCATGCGTAAAAGAACTCGGCTGACCTGCACAACCATGGGTGGCTCCATGAGGAGCCATTGCTTGGGCACCAGGGTCATTCTCATCTGTTCCTGGCACCAAAACGACCAAAGCTCCTTTCAGCTCCATTTCAAGCTGTCTGAAGTGAAGCCAAACCAATTTTGCCAAATGGCCTCCTCCTGCTCGCGCATGTCCCAGCGATGCGCTCCGAATCCACCCAGGTTGCCCAGGTCATCGCTGGGAGCTCCAGGCCTGTGCTCTCTGTGACTGAGTTGGCTGGGAAGCTAAGCCCATCCCAAACCAAGGCTCGGGCCCAAATTCGTCGTAGGCGCCGCCCTTTGGAACCAAAAGCCCTGGACCTGTGGCTTACGCTTGGAAAGCTTGAAAGGGATACTTCGCGAGGCACTCAGACGAGCCCGGCTCGCGCCGCGTGCGAGACAACTACAATTTGCCCTTCGGGCCCCAGGCATGGAGTCATGTTGTGCTTCCCGCGCAGCGATGATGGATCTCGTCGCCTGCATTTGACTGTAAGTCGATGTGCCACTGCACCACAGGATGAAGCTAACACTTCACCAGGCGAGCCTGTCTTCCCAGTCATTCGGGTTGCTGCCACCCCACGTGCGAGGGACGAACGCAGCCAACGGCAGGAGCGGCGCCTGCACAAACACAACTTATGCATGTGTGTGTGTGTGTGTGATGCCTGGACTTACAGTAATTCTACATGCAAATTTGATAACAGCGCAGGGAGCACGTAGCTTGTATTGGTGGTTCGAACGACGAACTCGCCGTTCGGGGTACTCTCCTCATTCCAAAGCAAGATGCACGCACAAAACAGAGCCGGCAAACCTCCGATCTCTGCGTCCTCTCTGGTGCGGAAGCGCTTGCAAAGCTCGCGCAGCAGGCGCTGGTAGCATGGTGCAAGGCGGGGAATCCTGGCTGGCCACGTCCAAGCGACTTGAAAAGCAAAAAGCTGCGCGCAGAGGAGCTTTGAGCAAGAGAGTAAGCTCAGGCACCTGAGAAGCGCCCCTTCCGGGGCCTTCAGCAGCCTTCCGAGTCAGATTCAATTCCAACTCAAGGAGTTGTTTCCAGAAAATCCTGATCGCCTCATCAGGTCTGATTCGGCTCCCAGCAAAAAGCGGCGAGACCTCAGCCAGTGCGCTCAGGAGAGCCGGGGAGAGTAGCCGGCACTCAACATGACATTCAATGCACCATCCGAGCCTTTTGAAGCACAGTGCACGTACCACATCAGTGCGGTTCCAGAGTGCCTGAATTTCCAACTCAGTCTTCTGTCCGAAGCGCATCAGCACAGCACTACCCTGCCTCTGGCAGGAAATATCCCTCACCTTCCGCAGTTTCTTGTGCCACATTTGCTGGACTGACCTGAGCACACACATGGCATTTTGCAAAACTGCCCAGATTCTCCTCAAATTCCCATCTCTCCAAAACCTCTGAGTCTCCTGCTCCCAGCTGTTTCAGGATCTCTTGCCCAGGTTCCCGTTGCCAGGTCTCCACCGGCACCGGCCATTGCGTCTCGCCTTGTGGCCACACCTCCTGTCCCGGCCACCCGTTGTACTGCCACTGCGAGCCGGGCTCGGGTTGGCCCTGCTGGCACGGCGTCCAGGAGTTCCAGTTCTGCCACGGCCAGTTCTCGTTCACGGGCTCGCACATCGCTTGCATGGCCGTCGCCGGCTGGGCCGGCTGGGCCGGCTGAATGATCGGTGCCTCCATCTGGAAAAACGGATCCGGGTGAGAGCGCCAAATCGCGTCGGAGCCTTGGTGCCACACACAGGTATCGCAGCGGCCGCACGAATCACAACGTGCCTGGTGACAGCGCTCCCATGTCTGCGGTGTCCTGAACATAGAGCAAGAAACATACGTGAGCTTCCTTCTGCATGTGCGTTTGTTGCTTGATGCCCGCGCAGCCCTGCACACCCTCGACTCCTGAAGCAAAGCCTCGCTCTCATCTCCACTGCTCCCACCGCCCCACCTGCAAGATCACAAAGATCTCGACAAGTCAACACTCACGGATATGGGGAAACCACTCATTTGGAGAACTTTCCAGACACATGGCTGTGGCTCAGAAAACCAGTTCCAAAAATGGAACCCTGGCAAGTGGAGACATGGACCAAAACCCGCGGTTTGCCCCTCCTGTTTCATTTTGAGCCACACCCACATCTTCCACTTGCGCCTTTGTGTCTTTCTCACATATTCACAGGCCTTTGTGCTTTGCCAGCGGCCGACGGTGGGGCTCCCAGAGGCAGTCCCACTGCAGGTGTACGGACTTGGGTGGTCTTCTCATCCTTCGGATGCGGCTCAGCGGCTCGTTCGAAGTTCAGCTGCATGCAGCTCAACCGCTGATAAAACTGCCAGATGTTTTTTGTTTGGCACCTGCTCCACCTGCTCGGATGCCAGCAAGCGCTTCAGCAATCCGTTTTCCTCTCCTGGCAGATGCCGTGCTGAGCGCTCCTATGGTCATGATAGCCTAGACAACCCCAAACACGGTCGAACATTGGCCTTTGGCCAATCAAGCTTGACTGTCCCTCACATACGCACAACCCATTCTGTGTAGTGTCAGCGCAGGCAGAAAGCTGCCTGACGTCTCTTCAGGTGCCGAGGGAGTCTCCCCTCGTGGCCTTGGCTTGAAACCGATCCACAGATTCCATCCGCAGCTCGGGCCGCAGCTCTCCAGAGGATCTCCCAGACTCCTCCCCCGACTCCTGAGAAAGAAGAAAAGACCAGCTTCTCGAGATGCAACATCTGTGCCTGCGCGCAGACCTTGGGACTGGAGCCTGGCACAAATTCCCACAAAGAGATAGAATTCCGAGCTGGTGTCCCAGCCTACGCCGAACGAAGGTTTGTCTAGCGACATGGTCCGTCGACGCCTGGTGGGGCAGCGAGGGTAAGACCACAAGGCTGCTCAATCCGCACCTGCCCCAGTCGCCCAGACTGTCGTCGCTGTCGTCCTCCTTCTTGTCCTCGGCCTGCGATGCACAACATACACGCGCCTCGCGTGTGGTTGCAGCGCTGCCTCAGGGTGCATGCTTACCTGGCGGCCATGCAATAGTTGGAAGACCAACCATATCCCAGGCCAATATGACACATCATGCCACGGCACGGAGAATCAAAGTCAGGGCCTCCAACATCTCGAAGTCAATGTCGTCATCATCCACAATATCAGCCCAGGGCCTCGGTGGCATCAACTGACTGTTTCGTGCGCTTTCTTGGAAGGAATGAGGGGGGCAAGAGAAAGACAGGGGGAGAGGAAAAAGAGGGAAGCCCCGGCATATGAGGCAGCATGGGACAGTTTCACCTAAGCGTTCTCAGAGGCGTTCGGTAGACGTTCTCAGAGTCATTCGGTAAAAGAAACGGCCGGCGCGAATCCCAGGCATCCGACGCTGTCGGTGTTGACAAAGGCTTCAGCTCCAGCGAACGAGGTACCTCGAGTACAAGGTTGGAACTACGCAATGTCCACATCGAACCTCCTGCTGGTGCACTGATGGCGTCGGCGATGAGACAGATGGTGATTTGGCAACGGAGGGCAGTGGTGCCGAGTGTGCCTTCTGGAGCCTGGGTGGAGCTTGAGGCAACAAGTTGCGTGGGCATGGCATCCTGGGCAGCAGGCGGGGCTGGTTCATCTTCGCTGTTGTCCTGTCCAGTTCCCAGCTTTGAATGAAACTGGCGCAAAGCTTCTCGGCTTCCCCGCCTCTGGCGCATTCTCCTCAGCTCGCACCTCTCGGGCCTGTGGTCGACCTTGCTTCGACGACCCTCACAGCATCTTGGAAGCTTCGGCTCTGGCAGCAATTTCAAGCTTGCAACACCTGGGTTCGTCTCAAAATAGGGGGAACCCCCAATGGTGGCATGTGTCCCTCTCGTTTCCTAAACCACCCCAAAAAGGGTTCCCTCAAAAAGACCCACCCGCCTCCTGCCCCGCATCGCGAATGGCGAGGCCCCCACCACGTTCATTCAGCACGACTTGGAAGCTCAGAGGCCCTGAGAGCGCCCACACATCAGGCAAGTCCTCAGCAAGGGCATGGTGCATAGGCGCAAGCTACCCAAATCTTTTGGAGCTTCCTGAACCCACTGGCCAGGAGCCGGGCGGATTTTGTTATGTACACATCGCGGTTGTACAACTGGTGCGTAGTGCGACACTTGATAAATCCATACCTGAAGGATGCACAGGTCAAGCTATGTGCTTGCCTTTCTCATAAGGATGCGGCGTGTCTCCCATGCTCTTTAGTACACCATGATATCGAACCATCGCCTGCACACCGGAAAACACAAACTCGGGAAGCACGCAACTGAGTCGATTCTACCAGGTTGCACCAGCTGCTGCCAACAATCTTTGGCCACAGCCCAACAATTTGCGTGCTGCTACCATCACCCCACGCCTCTTCGCCCGACCTCGGAGAATTCCTAAATATGAGATGCCTGCTTCCTCACGCTGAGCTTTCCACATTTTGAGGACAGTCCGTCGAAGGCTTGGCACAACTGGTGGGAGCAAATACTAAATTAGAAGTCCTCACGTCCTCCGAAGTTGCTCCCAACCAG